GAATACCCATGGTGGCTTGAAAGTCCTTCGTAGCTCATTTCTAGTGCTTTCAAAAAACCTACATGATATTTTAATGGTAGACAGCATGATCGTAGTTATGAGCCCTTTTTGTAAATTATCTTTTTTTCCTCTTAGTTGTATTGGCTTAGTCAAATATATTTTGGAGTTCTGTGTTTGTTTTTTTTTATTCCTTGGGGTGCTTTGGTTTTTTGTTCTGTTTTTTTAACAAGTCTGAAGAACAAGCATTAAGTACTTGTTATAAGGACTTAACCTAAATTTAAATCTAGGCCATGTAATTACACATTTTATATAAAACTAAAATGTGCATTTCTTTCTTTTGTCTACAGAAATGGTATATTTGGTGTGTAGAAACGTTCTCAAATTTTGACTTTTATAATCAGTGTGCTGTCATTAAAATGAATTTCAGTGAACTAAAATCACCTGACTTAACAGCTAATAATGCTCTTGAAATGAAGTTCTGTCCTCCTTCCACCCTCAGTCCCACCACCTCAACTGTGATTGGTTTTAAAACATAGGTGCAGCTCTCTTTTTTTATTCCTTGATATGAGACAGGATTAATATCATAAACTCTTGTCAGATTTATTCCTGTCCCCTCCACACCCCCCAAATGCCTCTTGTTATATATAGCTTGCTGGAATAGTTTACATTTTTATTATTTTGGTTTTTATTGATTTGTATTATTTGACTTTGTAAATCCTGGAATTATTCACGGCAGCCAGGCAGCAGAGGCTGTGCTGTGAGTAGGAAGTCCAGCAACAATCAAAAAAATCTTTGGTACTTTCCACCTTTACCCGAACCTTCCCTTCTCTCCCTCCCTGTTGTCATTGACGGTCGCTGTCATACGCACATCTCTACATCTCTGGGAAGGCTACTGCAAGCATGTTCTGTTCTGCTCTGTGGTCTTCTCTTCTCTTCTTGCATCGCTCATTCTTCCCTCTTCTGCCTCTGTTGCATATCTCCATGTTAACAGCATTCAAATATGCTTCCTAGCCTAAGGTGGTTTTTTTTTTATGTATATATGTATATGTTCCTGAAATTGTGTTCCTGAAAAATCTACCTTGATGACTGGGTTGGAGTAAGAAACAGGAACTGTTTTGTTATTGAGGTTTGCAACAATCTCAATTTAAAACAAGTTGTATTAAGAAATTATTGGGTGAAGAGGAAAACTGTGAGCAGTTAAGCCAATTACTTAACCATATGTGTTAAGATTTTTGTTTAATATTTACTTACTTTTTCCTTCTCTGCTTCAGGAAAGGGTGGTTGTTGCTAACTGATTGTTTACTGCCAATGTGACGATATGTGCAGGATCTGGGGAATTTAAGTCTGAGTCATCTGAATACTAAGAATGTTGGTTCTCAGCCTAAAAGTAAATATCTAATATTTATAGTTGAATATAAAGCTAGAAAATACAATTTACATTCTGCAAAGGCTCAAAAGGAAGAAGTAAAAGAACTGAAGTCTAGGGTTTTTTTAGTAGCCTTTTTTTTTTTAAAGAATTTATGACCTATCTGTTCATGAAAAATCTGTTCTTTTTAATGTTTTCTTTCAGTTCTTGTATTTTAAAACACTCCAGCTAGAATAATGCTCGTTATTCACCTGCAGATATGATTCTCTTCATATCATAATATGATATGTTGACTGTGAGAAAACAGAGGAAGTAGCTCAGTTGTTTCAGTCAGCACTCAAAACCGTATACTTTTTAAAATTTTATTTTCATACCCTTGTTATGCATGCATGCTTTTCCGTCTGCGTGTCTTACATTCAGATGTCATTTTAAGCACTTCATAAAGATGGTTTTTTAAAAAATGATTGACAGTACCTGAAGCTCTGCAGTCCTTTGGAACTTGCTGCAAAAAGGCAGTTTTTTATATTTTTTTAAAATATTGATAAGGTGTTTTGGAAGTCAAAAAGACCAACTTTTAGCAACTCAATAGCTTAGTTCACCTTTCTGTTTTTAACTTAATCCAAAATTTCCCTCTTTTGACTCTGGGCGAAAAAAAAAAAAAGCATTCATGCTGAGTTTTTGAAAGAATTACTTTTTTCATGTTCACTTCATGTTAGGAAGTAACTGAGGTTTTTTTAACCATAGCTGAACTAAGGTAAAATTCAGGCGAGAAGAAAACGGAATACTAGCTGTAGGTGTCAGATTTTTGGTAACTGAATCTTGTTTTTATATAGAGATGACAGACAATGGGTATTCGTTAATAGATCACACAAGTTATTTGAAGTAATTAAAAGGAATTATGTTGAGAAAAGCTTTATATGTTTAAAGTATATATATGATAATTTACTTAAATAACTAAACCTTGTGGCCTTGCATCTTTCTGATTATTTCTAACTTCTGTGTTTCGTAGTGTGATTTTTGTTTTCTTTTTCTAATGGGAAATTCTTACAAGTTTTCTTAATGTTCTCTGGAGGCAGCAGCTATAAAAATGGAAATTCATTATGACTCTCCATGCCTCTAAGCAAGAGATGGATCACATAGCAGGAGCTATCAATTTAACCAGTGTCAAAGATGGAGTTGCAGGGTTTTTTTCATCTTCTGACCTTACTGAGTGTTCATAGATTAAGTGCATCATGTTCTGCTTGTTGAATAAGCTGGCATCTTTGGGTTCGACCCATCAGGTTGGAAGGAGAGGAGAGGAGGAGCTCCGCTGTTCCCAGCCAGACTTGTGGTAGCCCTTTGCTCAGTGACCGTGACTAATGGAAATGCTCAATTAAGTTGTCAGAAGGAATAATGACTTCTGTTTAGTTTTCATTCAGAAATACCCACTCCTAGCATCTCTGTCTGGTTTTCATGTTAGGATATAATGTCAGCTTCATGTGGAGCTGGTTTTATTTGTTTACAGTGTGTACTTTGGAAAATGGAAGATGAGCAGGAGAGAGTTTTTATATATGAAATATTAGATATTGGTGGTTGTCCTCTCCAGAGTTGGCAGACCTATTGGTATACATCAGTCCAACATACAGACTCCATTTATGGTGATTTTAATGTGTTATTTTCAACAATAGCTACTAAATAATATATTTGAGAAGCAACACTTTGACAGCACTTTGCTACTCCTTCCCACATGTGCTGAGTGAGTATCTTAATTGACACTAAATTGTAAGACCAACCTGCCAAATTTGGTCTTGCTGTGATTTTTTTTGTTTGTTTTGTTTTTCTTTTTTTTCCCTTTTTTTTTTTTCTTCAAGCTAAAATGAAAAGTTACCCCTATCTTTGGGATGCTGATTAATGGCCAAAGAGATTGATAGGGTGGTTTTTAAGCCACCTTTTGTTCCTTCCTAAGTTTATGCACAGATGAACATACTGGTTGTGTTACTGTGGCTTAATATGATCACGATTTAAGCTGTGATTTTTCATGGTTTTGGCTCATTGTAGATGGGGATTGAAATGCAGTAACTTAATTCGCATTAGGAAAGTGGCAGTGTGGATGTGTTCCAGGGTTACGCTTCACGCTATCATTTAAAAGCGCTGGTCTGCTACCTGTTTCTGTCACATCCAGTCCTAGCAAGTACACCCATCACCAACAAAAGCAGCCAGGCATCTCCGTGAGCTAGCAAATAGCGGCTGTAGGCCAAGGAATGTTTCAGCCACAAAACTCTATAGTACACGTTGCCTTTGCCATCATGCATGATAAAATTTACTTGTATCTACTGTCTGCTGACTGCGTAATGGTGACACTGTGTGAAGTTCTGTGTGGAACATTTTAAATATATAAAACAAATGTGTCTACATCTATATCTACTAACAAGTACAGATGCATGTACTTTCACTCTTCTACCTTGTTTGAATGGGCTATAAAAAAAGTTTAGTTTGGATTGTACTTGTTGGACCTGAAAATTAAAATAAAAATCTTGGAAATGTTTTCTCCACTCAGAAGCAATAGACAGTTACTTGAGGGACAGATGCTGCTAGAATGTGATCAAAGCAGGCAAAATTAGGAATGCTGGATTCCTGTCACCCCTTGCTCGATACCATTCTGCTTGGGAAATCAGGCGGTATAAAGCCAGGAGAAGTTGTTCCTATGCTATTCCAATTTGATAAATCTTTATCTGGTACATGATTCCTCAGGGGTTATAATAGCACGTTATAATTCAAAGTACTTTAAACTTCTTTGTTGCATTGAAAGAATGATGGCATCAGGATAGTAACTTGTCTCAAAACTTTTTCCTCTCTCTTTCATGAGTTTGTACTCTACTTCACAAAAAAAAACCACAAACCCACCTGGGAAAAAAAAAACAAAGCTGCGTACAGAAAATGGTGGGGGTGTGTATATTTATATTCTATATACATCTCTGTGTTTTTCTGGGCAGATCATGCATGAATGATAATCCCTGGGTGAAACTGGGGACTGTTATGCTACAGAGATGCCCACCTGAGGAAAAGGAAAACACAGGAAATGAAATTTTGAAAATCTGCCGTTCTTTGTATGAGACAAAGCACATGCTCCCTGTTGAGGTAAGTTTTAACTTTGGGTATTGTGGATATGAGTCTTGTTTTGGCATCCCAGCTACAAGAAAGATGTTGCCATACTGAATCAAGCCTGAAGGAGATCTCACAATATGATCAGGGGGCTGGAGCACAATAAATGCAGAGAGGCTGAGAGAATTGACTTCATTCTGTCTTAAAAGAGATGACTGAGGGAGATCAAATTGCTGTCTCTAAATATGCGAATGAGGAAACATGTAGAGATGGAGCCAGCCTCTTCTCAGAGATGCTCAGTGATAGGACAAGAGGCAATAGAGACAAGTTACGTCATCAGAAACTCTGATTACATACAAGGAAAATGTTTTTCACCATTGAAGTGGTGAAACATTAGAATAAGTGGATGTCTGGAAGAGACACAGAATCTCTGTCCTTGGAAGTATTCAGAACTTGACTGGATCGTGTCATGGGCAACTTGATCTTGTTGGACTTGCTTTGAGTGGGGGCTAGTTGGATTAGCTGACCTTTAGAGATCTGTTCCAGTGTAAATTATTCTTTGAAGTATTTATAGAAAGGCTTTAATAATGTGTTGTCATTGGCATTAGTGTGGCAAAAGCTGTTAGTTAAATAATCAGTAATTTTCTCACCGATAAATGCATGAAGATACAGCGAGGAATCCTTGAAAAATGTATTGATGGAGAAAAAACCTAATACATAGATAATTGCTTTGTAATAATCATGATGTTCTGTCTTACTTAACTATGTATGCATACTTCAATAATTTCATACTTAAGAGATTCTTGTATTGAAGTGTTTTGTACGTAAACATTATATACTAATGAAGACAGATTTGAGAAATGCTTAATAAACTTCACACGACTTTAGTCATGTGCATATTTTTAGTAGGCTGATTAATCCCTTATAATCATCTTCATGCAATCACAGTCTGTTGCAGAAAACGACTGATGTTAAGACCAGAAGCAGAATAGAAATAGCTCATTCTGATTAAAATACAGACAAGTGGAATGTTGGGGTTTTTTTTAAATAGTCAAACAGACTGATCTGAGTCGAGTTCAAAATCTATGTAAAACATGGTTCCAGAAGATGTCAGTAAGCTGAAATGGTAAATACATCTATTAATTAATTCATTCCATCAAAAATTTTGGTGGAAGACAGGTTTCCCTATCCCTGGGACTGGCGTAAGTATAGGTAGCTTTTCTTTACAAGCCATTGAGTGGCACGTCATAGCTTGTAAACTTGTGATCTTATTCATGCACAGAAGGAGTCAAACTTTCAAAGTAGAATTTTCTAACTCACCTCAATGAAGCAGGAAGGCAAATCCCACCGAGGGTCGCTGTTGTACGGCAGTCAGTTTCCCAAGAGTTCTGCTTAAGACTGGGTCATGGTTTGCTCAGTTCTCTTAACTGAGTAAACTTTTTCTGGAATTCCATAACAAGTCCTTATTTATACACAATTTTAGTATTGGATGGCAGCTTTGGTTGAAGGTGCCTGCCTTTTTTGAGCTACAGGATGCTGGAAGAGCCTTCTGTGTAGGTGTGAATATACAGATACAGTATGAAGATACGCTGGTCTTCAGAATAGCTTTACCAATGTAAAATACCTTTTTTTTTTATGACTAGAATGCTGTACAGGAACAAGAGTTGCACTAAAATGTGTAATAGTACAGTTATGTACAAACACAGGTTATGTTGCCTTAAGTCTCTGTGAAGAGGGGGATGACATGGATAAACTTAAGTAACTAATTTGTATGCACAGCCATGGTACTTAAGTGCACAAATTAGAGAGTTGAGAGTGCATGGCTGAATAAGATGAAAATCTGATTACTGACAGTTAACCTGTTTAGATGACTTCACATTTCAATAAATACACTGATTAAGAACAGAGACCTAGAATGATGTCCAAAGGTTGTGATGGAAAAAACGTTTAACTTCAAGTCATGATGGTCTAGAAATTAGAAAAGCTGTTTCTTTGGATGTAATCAGAAAGATTTCTCTGTTCATTTATTCCACCTACTGCTGGTCTCTCTAGTTTTTTACAGCCAGGTTCTTTTTTAATGTCTTTTAGGGAGTTGCATAGCTTTAATTTTCATATCTCTGTATGGTTGGTTTGTTTGTTTGTTTGCATTATTCAGGGGGTAGATTTTTTCCATTCCTCTTAGTCAAAATAAGCATAGTTTTATTTCCTTGGAATGCACATGTGTTTGGACTGTCTAACATCTCCTGCACTCACTGATTAATTTCTTTAGAAAGGGGCAAATCCTTCTCCCTTCAATAGCTGTTAAAGTGTGACTACTCTGACTATCTCATGTTTTTCTATCAACCTGTGGATCCTTTGTCAGTTAACATAAGCACCTAAATGAGAGAAAGCATCTAGTCTTTTATCTGTAATCACCCTGGGGTCCTGGTGGCCATAAGATGCTTATCTGCTAGAAAAATATAGCAGCCAGTTGATCTCTTTTTTCCTATTTCCGTAGCTAGTTGTTCCCATTTTTTATATAGGAGTTTGCTTTATAAGTTTTTCTTCATTCACAGTTGTCTCTGATAGATTTGTTCAGATAATTTTGAATTTAAATGCTGCCCTTCAGTCTGCTTTCAGCCTCTCCAGACACAAGCCTGCTTGTACTCATCCAGCCCTTCAAGCTGTCCATGAAAATACAGAATAATACTGAACCCAAAACACTTCCATGAAATCCATTTTATATGGCTCACTGGTGTTACAGTGAACCATTGATAGCTGCATAACTAGATAGAAGACAAAAGTTATCTTTCAGAAGTTTCAGCTGAATCATGGTAATCCAGATTCTGATGTAGGGCTTCCCTTGTCCCTCTCTCAGGTAGCATCATACCCCCTCTGATCTGCTTGGCAAGTTGTCCAGTCCCTGTGGGAAAAGGGATGGAGGCCACTCCAAGGCTTTGTAGGTTGGACCGCACTATCCAACACCTTATTTCCCTGGTGCCTCTGACAGTGTTTCATGTCATATTTTGAAAGTGTTGCTAAACTTAAAATATGCCGTAGTGATGGCCTTATTTATTACTACAGAACCTGTTGCAGGGACCTTTGGGAACAACTTTCTGTACAATGTTTTTGTTTTATCAGTGTATGTTTTGATGGTTTTCATGGACTTGGAGTGTGTCATAGGTCCATAGTACTTTTCCCCTTGCATGCCTGCTTTCTTCCATGTCTGAAAGACAGACTTTATTTTCTTTTCCAGTCTCCTGTAACCTGTCATGTTCTCAAGGGTGATGTCCCTTAACTTGATTTATATTATTTCTTTAGGTGTTCACAGGTGAATTTTTCAGCCCCAGAAATATCTTTTTTATTTGAGACTGAATTTTAAATGCTGAAGTCTCACCCATTATTATTGTCAATTGTTCATTTGCCTGAGATCTTTTAATAAGAATTGAAGCAAAAAAGATATTTAACACTTTGACTTTCTTAACTTTTTGTTACTCGCTTTTTCGTATTAGCATGTCATTAATCATGATGTTGTATCCTAAGTGTACCAGGAAACCAGAGGCAGTGGAGTCTTACCTTCTGAGAGAGATCAAGTGAAGAAGAGTGGATAAGAAGTACCCATTCTATGATTCTATGATCTCCATAAACCACTAGTGAGACTGGCATTAAAGTAAAACACCCTGTTAGCATAGTTGCTATGGAGGATGCTGAAAAATGAGAGGCAAAAAAGAAAACCTACAAAAATTAGTGCACAGATGAGAATACTTTGAAGTGGAAGACTGAAGGAGTGCAGTGTATGTATTAGCTTATCAGACATCAAGAGGGGAATGATTTTATTGTGCAGATATTTTTAGATGGAACAGAAGCTAATAAAACTCTCTTTTTGCAAAGAAAGATGTAATGAGAATCAATTGAGTTTAACTTATAGCGTTTCAAATTTTAGCATAAGGCATGATATTTTGACAGTAAGTAAAATTGATTGTTGGATTGTATACTTCTTCAAGAGAGATGATAAATTTTGTAGGCAAGAGTGAATATTCCTGCTAGACACGTTATCGCTCACAAAGTTAACTCAAGCCGTCTGACTGGTACCTACCTGAAATCTAATGACCTTTGGCTTCAAAGTCTGCTAATGTAAGATGAACAGGAGTTAATTGGATAGCTAAGCATGTGTTTTCTTAATGTGGAGGCCTTTATGCTTTTGTGGTGACCAAAGCAGATTGTCTTAGAACACATCCCATTGGAATGTGTAACCAGTACTAGAGTAAAATAGTGAGGCATCTAAGAAGAGAACAAAATGCTGGCATATCATCTGAGTTAAATGTTATTGCTTTGGAAACAGCAAATATCTGTATTATTGCATCTGCTTGCTAAGAGATACATTTTTTTCTGTATTTTAAAGTAGCTCGCTGAGACAGCAAACTCTGATTCAACCTCTACACATTTTGTATCCCTACCCTGTTGCTTTACAAATGTACAGTACATAGTTATGTTTTACAGTTTACTTAGTTTCCTTTTCTTCTTCCCACAACCCCAAACTATGATTTGAGGTTCTTTTAGAGAGCCTTTTTATAATTATGGGTCATTTCTTGTTGCACTACTTCTCCGGTTAGTTGAGAGCCTTTCAGGCAGAAGAAGTTACCAGGCATGGTAAAATTGCTGATTTGTTCAGGTTGTGTATCTTACGACTCTCAGAATTTATTTTTCTGATCATAAGTTGCATTTATTGCTGTGGATACACCTTTTCAAGAAAGGGCGACATATAGTGTGAAGCTTTCTTTGCATTCAGTAAGTTTGCTCGTATGCCAGGCATACTGCTCAAAGGAAATTCAGTGGAATATGAAATTATCAGAAGTTTAATAAGCATATGACTGATCAGGCAAAGTGTAATGTATTTATTTGATCATCTTATTACTTGATCTTACATCATACCTTTCACTGAAAACATCATCAGTAGCAGTACAGAACACGATTTTAGAGGAATAAGTCTGGGTGAGAGAACAAGCCTTGCCTCAGTGACTCCGAGCTCAGTGTGATAGAATATATCCTTCTAGGTGGTAGTGTTTCTTGAAGGTGTACGTTTAGAAAAGACTGAGCAACATGCAGCCAGAGAGCTCCCTGTGCCAGGCAAGGCCACGTGTCTCTGCCATACGTCACAATTGAAGCATTTAACATCTCTTCATCTTCAAATCATTTTTAGGCTTTTGGGTTCACAGCTACTAAAAACATGCTGCTGCTAAAAGTGTAGTTGTGTTTCGGTGATCAAATAGTTACACTTGTCATTAAGCTTCAAAAGATGTAAAAAAGAAAAAAAATTACTTGCATTCTTCCAACTTAATATTTAGCTGATGAGCTCCTTTGACAATTGCTCTCTAAATGTTGGAGTGAAACAGAGAGCACCTCTAAGAGCTGGATATCATTTTCAAGATGACTATCGTACCCAGAGCACTTAGTGTAAGTTTTCCTGGAATCTGGAATATGTCTGACGTTGTGCCTCATAGGGAAGCGGTTGTGACAAGTGACCAAAATTCTTGGAAATGACAAAAAGAGAACGGGAAGTTATAATTTGGTTTATAACAAAATTTGTTAGCCTAAGTGCTTTTTGATGTATCAATAAATAAATCACTACAATGTTGAGGAAAAACAAAAACACAAGTTACATGCAGGAGAATTTTAATTATTTAAGTATTTATTTTCAACAAAAGGCCAAGGTAGAGCTTTGGAAATGCACAGTAGATTGTTGTTTCTTTTATTCTAAAGATATTTCTCTGGCCAGCTTCTTCTTGCAGATGATTTATGATGCTAAATTTGTCCTATATCATAAAATATGAGAAATTAAATGAATGAAGAAAAATTAACATGCTATGCTTTAGTCGTGTGTAACGATTTGTATAAAATTTGGAAAGATTTTGCAACAGAGCTTTATGATGTTGAACTCTGGTATGTACTGTTATTTCCTCTTTATTTTGTTCCACTTTTATGATTGCATAATGGAGTTACAGAAACGTCACCGGTGTCTGTTAAGTTTCTTCCTGTACTTTGCAGTATTTCAGTAAGCTCAAGTATATTAGTCCCACAGAGAGCTGTGTTTGCTCTGTTGTTCTTTTAGTAAAATTCCAGGTTGTAACGATGATTCAGTAACTTCCTTGTCTCAAAGTAACAAATGTTGCACTTACAACCCTGTATTCTACATTTTAAAAAAAAAACTTGTCCTGCTAAGTTTCCAGAGGGTTATTTCCAAAAGGGAGTTAATTTGTTTTAAAAGTTTGGTTTTCATTTTCATTTGACATAGAATTTTCGTGAATTTTAGTGTGAACAATGATGTTAGTATATCCGGAGATCTCACTGAATGAGTTTACTTGTGTTTTCAGTGTATAAAAGAATTATGTTTGTTGCTGCTTAACCAGTCCCTCCTGCTGCCATCCCTGAAACTGCTGGTAGAAAGCAAAGATCAAGATCTTCATGCTGTGGCACTGGAGCAGATAACAGCTGTTGCTAAGGTATGAGTAGTTGAATTAACCACTTTTCAGAGTTTGAGGTAATAAATTAGCTCTTTTATGTTCATATGGTAAGCAGAGACTATTGAAACCCTTATCATTATTAAGATTTTCCGCAGCTATTGTGTCCACAGTGAGCAGTTAACGTAGGGCTGGTAAGATCTTTTATACATGCTTGAGGTGATTAAAACTCATAGCACTTTCATTAAATTACCTAGTATGCTATTTTAAGTCAGTGTGGTGGAACAGAAACTATTCTGTTATACGAAGTAGATTGTTATTTCTGTGTTCATATTCTAGCACTTTGGGATTTTTTTGTAATGATAATAGTACATCAGCTGAGTTAGCTTGGTTCTGACAAACTTGGCAGTCTGTTCATATACACGTGGAGAGCTGTTACACCACTGGTTTCGTTGTAGAAAGGTTAAAATGCAAGATGGTATGTTTGGGGACTTTCAGGGAATTCTAAACAGGTTTTATTCGATACTACAGTGAAGTGTCTGGAGAAAAAACTTCAATACTGTCTTTTTTTCTTTGGACAAGAACTGAAAGACATTACTGTATATTTTTCAATTGTTATATAAAGTTACATTACTCTTTTTGTCTTTTGTATTTGCTTTTCAGTTAAGAAGGAACACCTAAAAAGATGAAAGCTAGTCTCCTAGACAAAAGCATTATAACATCTTTTATCTTTTTCTCTGAAAACTGAGCTGAGTTTAAAACTTCTTCAAGCTCCTAATTGAGCTTGTGCATGTACAAACTGACTGTCTTGGATTTTATGTTAGCTGTGGTCTACAATCTAGCATTCTACCACAAAAGAGAAGGGAGGTATTGTCTGAGACCTTTGTATGAAAGGGAATGGCTTTCCTGTCTGGCTGAATTAACTGCATTGAATGTTTCCAGAATTAGAATATTTAGGTAAGAAAACCACATCTTTAATATTTCCAAATTCTGGACCGTATCTTAGGGAGTTCTTGGTTGTGTATTACAATATAAGTAATAATTGATGATAAATTTCCCATATGCTAGTTCAAAATGAAACTGCCCATAAGGAAACATATGGAACTGTGTATATCTTTTTAAAATAAGCATCAACAAAACACAAAAGCCTTAAAAGTGTTATTTGTAGGAATTCAGATTGATATTATAACTTTTTTCTGTGACACACAAAGTAGGCAAACCTTCCCTCATTTCTGCAGGAGCCCTCTAGGGCAGCCTCTCTGCTCTAGTTGTATTAATTGCAACAAAGCTTCCAACAAAGGGTGCAATCCCGTCCCCTACTCTCACACCGTCCTCTGTTCCCTAGGAAAGATGTTCTGCATCCTGCTCTTCCCAGGATTTTCCCTTAAGTCTCCTCCTTATTTAATCCTCCTCATGTGCTGTGTCTTTCCTTCTTATGCTGCACATTGTATTCCAGCAGTTCCTCTTTTTGCATCCTTTGGATAGCTTGAGAAGGAGATAAATCCTTGCCCTTCAGGAGGACTCCAGAGGACAGCGGTGAAGACCTGTCAGCGAAGCAATAGATCTGGAAGCATATGCTCAATCTCAGATGTTGCTAATTTTCCTTCAAAAGGACTAGCTTTTTTAACGTGTTCTCTATGAACGTTTAAAATGGTTGCATAGAAGGTGGCAGGGCATATAATATGTAATACACATCTGCTTGTATCAAAATTCCAATGTCATATTTAGTATCCAGTATGAATTTGGAGTATTTCCTAATTGAGTTTTGCATTCTAAGCAAAGAACCACTGTTTTTTATAAAAGTGTTCCTATTCCCTTTTCTTTGTACAAATGAGCCACAAATTTTCTGAATTTTCCACTGTCATGGTTTAGGCCGCTCTGGCACTAAACTCCACACAGCTGCTCTCTTACTCCTCCCCTCAGTAAAGTGGAGAGGAGAAAAATATAATAAAAGGACTGAGGGTCGAGACAAGAACAGAGGGAACACCCACCAGCCATGGTCCCGGGCAAAACAGACTCGACTTGGGAACAAAACAATCCAATTTATTAACAGTTACTTGAGAGGATAAAGAGAAACAAAAGCCAGATCTTAAAAAAACAACACCTTCCCTCGCCTTTTCCTTTTCTTTCCGGCTCTACCTCCTCCCTCAGCGGCGCAGGGGGACAGCTCAGTTCATCCCATGTTGTTACTGCCGCTCCTTTCTTAGAAGAGGGGAGGAGTCCTTTCACCCTTTTCCCTGGCTCCAGTGGATCCCCTACTCACAAGGAAAATCCACAAACTTTTCCAGCGTGAGTCCTACCCGCAGGATGCAATCCTTCCCCATCGGATTGCTCCAGTGCGGGATTTTACCACAGTCTTGGATTCTTAGGGAGCTGTTGCCACTCACTCCGGTGTGGGTGGTCCTACAGACTTTAGATGCCTCTCTACCTTGTTGTGCGTCCCATGCTCCACAACCTCTCTCAGGCTCAGGTATCTCTTCTCTGACGTGGGCTCCTCCACGGGCTGCGAGTGGGTCTCTGCTCCACCCAGTCTGTCCTGGCTGCAGCGGGGCTGCCTGCCGTCTCGCCACCCGGTG